GAAGAGTTAACAGTTTTATCAGTGTTTACGGCCATTGAAACCTTATCACAAAGCACAGTGCTGTTCTCTTTCCTATATAATTCTTGAGCTTCCTATTCTTTGGCACTAGCCAAGTGGAATCAGCTGGTTCCACTTTACTCTCACCACAGTTGGAAGCCGCGCGTTCATCAGACACGCAACGCTTCATCGTCGTGGCATCACCCTGTTGACTTACAATGTAGGCACTGTTTGCCCCCCAGGTTTTCGGGGCTTTTTTGTGGTGTTGCAGACTTCTGGGCACACTTTACCTCTGTTGCATCTTTCGAAGATAGAAGATGTGGTTCTGTCCCAGTCTTATGACTCAGGCAACGTGTAAGCGCACGATTAGGGAAGTGCAATCCAATATGGCCGACTAACATGGACGAAATTGACCTCCAGGTGTCTAACTCTTCCAATGTGTTTATGAGAATGTTTATATGAAAATAAAATTATTATTATTATTAATGACCTGATTTTGTGACATAAATAAATAAATAGATTTTTTCTCATGGTACAGTACATGAGGGACGCCAGTTTACATGCATCATCAAATTGTTACAGAAATTGAACCATATTATTCAGTCACAGTTTACAATCGATAGCAAAATATGTTTTACATGTGCGCTGGAGATCGTGCCTGTAAAAATGGCATGCATTTTCATGTAAATTTATGTGTTTATATGAGAATATACATTATTATTAGATTATACATACACTTGGTAAATGTTAATCCCAATAATATGAAACATCCTTCTACTCATCGTTCTTCATCTGAGTCTGCAGTAGTTTATGTGACATTGTACTGGGGGCCAACATAAGTCTAAAATCATTCAGGAACAGTAGTAGCCAAATTGGAAGAGTGGTATCACTTCTAGAAAATTGAATAAGTTGTTTCAATTAACTACCCCACTGGCGGTCGAGCCCATTGAGTTTCAGTTCCCGCGTAAGGGTGGACGTGTTTCTGTACGCCAATAGTCTCATAAGTAGTTTTAATCGTTGATTGTTTTCATTTTGTTGTAATTTTATTTTTTCTAGGAGTGGTTTTGGATCGAAGTTATACGCGTTAAAATATCAACATTCTGGACAAAGCTGAAAAAACTGCTAGCTTAGAGACAGCTGGTTGGACTCATAAGTTTTCAAATAGTTCTTTTATTCCAAATAAATCAAATACATTACGCGAGACAAACACACCCAAATGGACCGCTGGCGCCACGCTGGCTCCAAAATCAAGCCACACCGATTCTATTCGTAAAGAGGTCTTGTCGTAAGTTAAATTTGTTTACTCATTCTCGATTAGCATTCTCAACAAGCTTACTGCCGAGAACTTTGATCAACAAGGAGAAAAGTTGCTTAGTCTAGATATATCTGCACCCTCACTTTATGTTATTGCACAGCTAGTAAGTCAATACATTACCTCAAGCAGTTACCTCAGATCTATCAAAAAGCCATCAATGAACCCAAGTTTACTTCTTTGTATGCCCAATTGTGTTTAAAGTTATGCGGAAGTGCTCCTAATTTCGAAACAGTAGGCACTCAATCGGTAAGTTCAACTATCTTATTATTTCGGTAGACTTTCCAGATCTTCTTAATCAAGTTTTGTGAAGATGAGTTCAGAGCTCGAGATGTTGCTTGCGATGATCAAGTGTCACGTCAGAAATGCTTGGGGAACCTACGGTTTATCGCTGAACTTGGAATACGCGGAGTTATGCCGGAAAAGATCTTGCATGGTTGCGTTCAGGAGCTTTTGTCGAGTAGGGTGCAGCATAGTTCAGTCAATGGTTCGGAGGTATACTCATCTACGCAGGAAAAAAATAAGACGGGTAAGTTAGGGAGTAAATGTTCAGTGCTCATTCATTGTGATATCTAGTGGGCCGCTGTCCACATTCAGACTTCGGTAGTCCGTTACCTCCTTAACAGACGCTAGTCTAAAGAATAGAATGAGATAACTTTTTCCTGAATATTCTGTTCTTGATTTGTCTTACAATAACGAGGTTAGAGGCAGTGTCAAGTGAAGGAAAAGCCTGCCAGTGAGATTGTAAAACTGCACCGATTTCGGTGGCTGGGACATGCACTATCGCCTTACTTGTCGAGCACTCTTTACTGTCATAGGATTAAAATGGGAAGGGGATAAGTGTTGGAATAAGGATAGCATCAACCACTGGAGTCATTGACTGTTAGCTTCAGATACCTGGTCTGTGTTCTCCAGACTCAAAAAGACAATGGGCGTGGTCTGTTGGTCATCTGGTTCAGGATTGTTCTCGGTGTTCCAGTGACCCTTCCAGCTCTTATTCTCCATTTACTTGTTCTTCCTGCAGTGAATTTCCGTTAAATTTATCTCATTCACATTTTCCCACTACATGTGACAACTTAGATTTCTGTACTTTGAAAACCCAACCCAGTAGTATCACTGCTTTTCTTTTATGTGTTGTTTGCTGAAGGCGTCTACTGAAACTGATGGACTGAAAATTTTATAAGTAGTGGTCATATAAGGTAAATAGTGGAAATCAAATATCTTCGACTTTCATGTTGTAGTAATGGTCCCTTTTAAAGTTGACATCATTTTTTGGCGTCATAGAGCATCAAGGAAAAGCTTTAACCAATGTAGTGCCTAAGATCATTGTAAGCTGAGACCTCAACTGCCTTATTATACTGATTTCTGATTGTTTTAATGTAAGGAAATTCTACTGGTTTGTAAAGTCATGGGAGCAGCGCCAGGGCTTGAGAATAGGTAGCGATCACAAACTGTGTAAAGCTGGACGTTGCTGACTTGTGTGATTGTGATGAGCACGTCATCTTCACAGGTACCGGAAGTCGAATAGTCCTTCCATTAGTTCATGCTCGAAATCAGCGATAGCGTTGTTCACATAGCTGATTTACCAACAATAGGCAACATGTTCCGGGCAGTTTAAATCATAACAATATGTAGAATTTTGGAAGAAAATAGTTTTAAAACAATTTCTGTCTGTCTGTCTGTTTTCGACATAGAACTTTGCACAAATGTGCGGAAGTTCAAGTCGCCACATTCCGTGTAGCACGCGAAGCAAGAGAAGAAAGTACAAGAAAAGCATAATAGAAACAGTGAGCAGAGGTGTGAGACAAAGGAGTAATAAAGAAATACAAAACAGTTTCATTGAAGATCATAAGTCACAAGGAGTGGATGCATCTGCGCCACTGAGAACGATTTTGAGCCATGTCACCAATTGTTTCCAACCATAGATTTTTACCGTCCCGAGGACCCCAGCCTGGAAGTCTACACCTTTCTACGTGGCTTAGACCAACTGTTGTGGATTTCATTGACTGATGCCAAGTTTTTGTTTGACCGCCGCTAGCTTTTTTCCAGCCTGACCCTATATCCGCTAACATAGCTCGTCGAGGGAGGCGATGGCTTGGCATACGTAACACATGTCCTAACCATCTCAGTCTTTGTAGCTTCACGACTTCGTCGATTGATTTCCCCTGTTTACCTAGAACTCTACGCCTAACCTCCATGTTGCTCACCTTATTATGCCACTTTACACGGGAAATAGAACGCAGGCACCTATGATCAAAGACAGCTAGTCTTTTCATGTCTTCCACTCTCAGTGGCCAGGTCTCACAACCATAAAGGAGGACGGAGCGGACTGATGAGCAGTACACCCGCCCTTTGGTCGATAGTCGAACATCTCGTCTACGCCAGAGTCGGCGTAAACTAACAAATGCGAAACGAGCCCCTTGTATTCGTGCTGAGATTTCGTCAGAGATCAACCCGTTGGGGCTGATGGTACTTCCCAAATAAGTGAAGCGGTCAACGTGCTCTACCACTTCACTTCCTATTTTTAAACTAGGCGTCGATGTAGTCCAGTCCTGTAACATCATCTTGCATTTGGCGGGAGCGAATCGCATGCCAAACATTCGTAGATTGCGGCTCAAGGTGTTTAGAAGACTCTGCATTTCGTCAGCGTCTTCGCCTAGAAGGACTATATCGTCTGCATATTCCAAGTCAACGAGATTATTCCCGGTAGCAAGTCAATTCCTGAGTCGCTGAAGTCACCTAGGGTTAAGTCCATTAACACATCTATGATGAAGTTGAATAGAAAAGGAGATAATGGGCATCCTTGACGGACACCACTGGTCGTCATCAGTTCAGATGACAGCTCGCCGTAAGCCCTCACCTGGCTGTATGAGTACGAATAGAGTGCCTTAATCAGTGCAATATATTTTCTTGGAATTCCCTTTACAGCCAAGCATCTCCAGAGAACTTCCCGATCGACAGAGTCGAATGCTGCCTTTAGGTCAAGAAATATAATGACTGTTGGACGCCGGTAGGAATGCCTATGTTCTAGAATCTGTCGGAGGGTGAAGATATGATCAATACACCCTCTTCCTGGTCTAAAGCCTGCCTGGCTCTCTCGTGTTTGTGCCTCCCGAGCACCACTCAGCCTACGCATGATTATTGAGCCTAAGACTTTAGATACTATATTAGTCAAGCTAATCCCTCTGTGATTATCACAGGAAGACTTGTCTCCCTTCTTGTATATGGGGATAATCAGTGACTTACACCAACCCGATGGGACTTCTTCTGATTCCCAGACGCTGCCTAGTACCTCAGTTAATCCGGACAGTAAGCTGTCTCCACCGTACTTAAATACCTCTGGCGTCATTCCATCAGGTCCCGCTGCTTTGCCTAGTTTCAGATTGGTGACAGCTTTAGTAACCTCAGTTAGTGACGGAGGACCTGTGTCTATATCCCATTCAGGGAGGTGTTGGATGCTCGGAAGGTTGAGCGTGGCTGTGGGCAAATTAAACTGCTCCTCATAATGCTCTTTCCAACGATCCAGTCGTCTATCCTGTGAGCTAATTATAGTGCCATTTTTTTCCGAGATTGTCTCACTAATGATTTGTCTTCTCCCACCCGTTTCCCTGATGAGTCCAAAGAGTTGCCTGGTGTTGCCTATCCTCAAAGCTTTCTCCATCTCTTTGGCTTTTGTCGCCCACCACTGTTCACGGTCCTTGCGGAGACTTTTCGTAAGTTTCCTCTTGTGCAGCTTTCGCTCCTCATTGAATTCGGAGCTCGCCGGAATAAGTCTTCTAGCATCTATCAGTTCGGATGAGGCGGTGGAGATCCAGTGGTTTTTACTCACCTTTGGGTTTACCTTATTCACAGCTTTTACAGCTGTATCTATGGCTGCCTGGATATTTTTCCAAGCTTCTTCAGGGTGAGCACAGCTGTCGAACACAGATATGTGTTTAGCTAGTTCTTCCTGAAATACGGATTTAGTTTCCTGATCGAGCTGGGGACGTGATGGTTTTACCGCCAGCTGTTTCCTACGTCCGTTCAGTCGTAAGCACACCCGAGCGCGGACCAGTGCATGGTCGGTATCTACGCACGTGTTCCAGAAGGAGCGACAATCTCCTACCGACCCACGCCAACGATAGCTTATTGCTATGTGGTCTATTTGTGTCCAGCGTTGGTTTGATGAAGGGGGTCTCCAAGTCAAACAGTGTCTTTCCTTGTGTTTAAAGTTAGTGCTTACAAGAAACAAATGATTATCAGAGCAGAACTGTAGGAGACGGTCACCGTTGTCGGTTCGCTGGCACGGAGCTCCATAGGTGCCACCGACATCCTTCTCAGATTGACACAATTTCCCTACTTGAGCGTTAAAGTCACCAGCTAGAACGACTATGTCTGAGCGTTTAGCCTTTCCACCAAACTAGACAGCTTTTGGTAGAACTCATCCTTCGTTTCATCTGAACTGCAGTCAGTGGGGGCGTAGGCGGAGATTACGAAAAGGCATCGGCGAGTAGTGCAGTCCTTCCTCCTTCTTACTGATCCGTTCAGGCGGACAGCACACATTCGGCTATCTACCGGGATCCAGTCAAGCAATGTCTTTTCTGCCCTAGTACTCAAAGCTATCCCTACGCCAGCTAATCCTCGTGAACTAGCTGTGGCATCTCCTGACACCCTCAGGTTGAATTTTGCAGATTCAACCTGTTGGCCAGGTGGGGTTAGGTGAATAACCACACTTGGGTCTTGTATGCGTGTTTCTGAAACACAGCATACATCAATGGCTCGTGATGCCAGGGTCTTGGCTAGTGATGCTTGTTGTCCTATTTGGCAAAGTGTCCTAACATTAAGAGCTCCTATATGAAATTGGTGGCGCGGCTTTAAGAGGCTGTCGGTGGTGGTTTTTTGGCTTCCATCGTTTTTAGTGGACGCAGAGTGGAGAGGAAGTGGAGAGCTATCAAGTCGAGGAGTTGCATCAGTGGAAGGAAGGCAAGATGATAGAGATGAAGATGAAGACAAAGATGAGTGAGTAATAGAGAGGTTTCGTGTGCATTTCGGATTGTGAGGGCGATTGTTACTTCCCGGCTGCCCACACCGTGGAAGTTGGTTGCGTGACCGCAGAGCCCAGGGGACAACTGCTTGAGGCCGGTCACACGCGGCCTGTTTTTGTTCGTTCTTTTTTGTTTGGTGTGTCTCAGTAGCAGATTTATCACTCCCGCCCTGTGACACGGCAGCAGGAAGCGCGGTCGTTGTTAATCCGGGCCACGGCCGATCCGGCATGAAATTTTGTAATTTTGTATTGGACATGATGTTGGATTGGGTAGCTGCTTTTTGTTTAACCGCTATCCAAACAACCTGCCTGGCATGGTAGAACCTCAAGAGACATAAGTCTCAGCCAGTATAGCTTGATTAGGTCATTGCGGTGTTCAAGCCCGACCACCACGTCAAGGTAGCAGCTTTCGGTCGGGTTTTAAAACAATAGGGCTTCTTAGAATTAGAATGACCCTTTTAATTCAAGCTCCTTGAGTTTAACTATGCAGTAGGCCTCGATTGGCTCGGGCATCCAAAAGCTAAGCATCAGTTGGCGGCCTACATTCTGACTTGGGGTATAGTTCTGATTCATCGTAATGTAAGAACGTATATGTATTTGTTCATTGATACTAACAGACTTAAAATTTATTTGTTGCCTTTTGTAGCTGAAACAACCAAAGAGAAGTCTTTATCAGTTGACTTGGAGTGTTTGTGTCAATTCTTGACAGCTGTTGGAAAATATATGGATACACCTAAAGCGAAGAAACTTATGGACCAATATTTCCAGCGGTTGCGTCGTATATTGTCACGCACTTGTGATTCAAGCGCTGTGACTTCTAATAAATATGAAAATATATCTACCGAAGGAACAGTTTGCCCAAAGGCAACGAAATGGAGTAGCGCCTCCTTATCGGCAAGAGTGCGGTTCATGGTTGAGGATCTGATGGATTTGAGGGAGAATAATTGGATCCCACGTCGAGCTGGTCAGCGTACTGAAACAAACAAACCCCGTTTACTTCGAGATATTCGATTAGAGATACTAAAGGTGAGTGCGCTACCTACTGCCCACTAGCCCCATTTCCAAGTTACGCTACTAGAGTACTCGGAAAGTCGGTTCTTTACACATTCAGTATCTTTAAAACTTGAATATCTTAATGTTAGATAGTGTTAGGCTACTATTTGTGATTGTGTTCTTTTGTGGTCTATGAAAACCTAAAATAATTAAGATGACTATGTCTATTCGTAACTTCGTAGTAGATCATTTTGTTGATTTACGAGATTCAGTGTATGAGATATACGGCCGTCTCTTTTAAGAATTCGTTGCGGTAATGTGTAATTTTTCGTACAAGGATTTCTCGAATGAGATAACGTTCTTCAGCTAAGACTCCCAAAATATTTGTTCATTGGTTTACAAAAGATGGGTTGAGTATCGTAAAAACGAAACGTGAGCATTTCTGCATAAAATGCAAATATGAGCAACTTTTTAGTTGATGCATGTAAGCCGGCTAATGCTAAAAGTTCATCAGTTCATATTTTTAATTCAAAAAATTGGATATTAAAAGAAAAAATATTAGTAAAGAATATATGGGAGAGTGATTTAATGCACTACGTTGTTCTAAATTCCGAAGATGCTCAGGAGTGAAAACGTTCGCAAATCTATTGATGGATTTGAACCATAGTTTATACCTACGTATTTATGGTAATCCTGGACAAATGGTTGGTGGTTAAGTGACGCTAATTTATTGACATGTAGTTCTTAGCTTGTTTCACTAGCCATATGACCTGAAAATTTGGTGACTTATGTTTCCCACACAGTCAGTCAACTTTTACTAAATGATAATGAATGAAGGGTGTCGTGAAACCTCATTGTTATTTTAATTGGATAGGGGAAATCGTTTCTGTGAATATAAAAATCACTAAAAATATTTTAAACAGCTTAGTCAAAATGAAAATATTATAATCTGACGGATAAAGACTTGAGCACACCAGAAAAACAAAAATAGTATTTATGGGTTGTTCGAAAGACGGTACTTTCTCCGTTTTTGTTTTTGAAAAAATGAATTTTCAAAAGGTATCTGCTGTCCTTAGAAGTATCCAGTTTTTACTTTGCATTGGACTTCATATTGTGTAAGTTTTACTCTTTCCTTATGCAAGATTTGGATTGCAAAGTTAAAAAGTACTAAAGTTTCTGTTCGAATATTAGTAGGTATGGCACTCTTTAGACAGTATTGGTTATCACTGCAAAAATACATCTTGTTATTATGGAATTATGTAGTTTTATGACCTTATTTTTCGTGATAATTTCTTTTGGGAATCATTTTAACTTTACATAGGAATCTGGAATTCTTGTTGCCCCGACTCCAAGCGAACGCTCTGCTGCACAACCTGATGTACCTGGAAGTGCTTTCATGAATCATTCGTCAAGGTCAAGTAATTCATCAGTCAGTAGTGAATTCCCTTTTGTCGGTGGTTTGGGTTCTAATTCATTGAAGAATGATAATGGTGAGGCAAGAAGTTGGATGGAGTTGGCGCGGATGGGTGAAGAACTATGCCGACAAAGTTCTCGAGATCTGTGTTTATTGGACAATGGAAATCGTTCCACTGATGGTCCGACTGTGCCTTTCCATGGGCGCTTACACACTACTCGACGTTTCGCATCCAGCAAAAATGAACTGCCTAATTCGAAAAGTGTTCAGCGTCAGAGTACAAAAACTAATAATACTGACAGTTGGGCTGCGAAAATTGAAAAACCTGAAGGTAGTAGTGATGTTGGTTGGGTTCGCGGTGTTAATGCACGATTACGAAACACCGCAGCCACGCCAAGTAACGGTGTGCCGACACCTAATGCCAATTTGCCACCACGAATGCTTAGGAAACTAGCTGCCGAAGCTGCTGGTAATCCACCAGTCAGTTCTACAACAAATGCTTACAACGAAACGAAGCACTCTACACACATAGATGTGCACAGCTCTCATGCGAACATCATTTCCGGTAATTCGACAACCGTTTCCAGGAATGGTCCGTCCCACATTACGCCTATTTTACATTCCTTTGGTCAGTCACATTCGTCGAATCTTTTTGATGTAAGTCATCTACGTAATTACCGAATGTGTATTAGCTTTTGATGCAGTCTCATGAAGCTGAACAGTAATCTCTCAAACAATTGTAGATATATCATTTCTATAGTAGAAATTTAGTGATTTTTAGACTCATCCATAGTTTTTAGTAAGTTTATGAGGTGCGTTTATTGTGAAGACGGAAATTTGGAATTTAAGCGGATTCAAATACTAAGTACTGAACGTTGCATGTCATTATGGATGTGTAAAGGTTTAGTTCTCCTAGATAAAGCTGTGAAGTTCATTCCGACAACCAATTTTTTTTACTGGTGAGCCCTTCTAACGTTCTTCCGTCAGCGATTACAAAAATCTTTGCACTTCATAAGTCTTCTACGCTACCCATCAATCGCCTTAATTATCTCTGACAGAAGGGTAAGAAGTTTAGTGTGTAAAGCGCGTGCGTGTGCCCTGTTTTTATTCTAACTTCAGCGCAATTCATGTCCATATATATATATATATATACCACATTGAAGGTCAAAATAACAATGAGGATTAAAAAGCCAAAGTAAGTGGATAACATTTAACCTGGTATTTAAAAAAGATTTATGTTTACTTAGAAGTAATGATCTTTAACTTTGAAAAACCGTAAAACGAGTTGGTTATGACGTTAAATGTCTCCTTTGACGTGTTTCAAACATTTGCTTTTTCTCTATTTCCATACCATACTTATGCATAAAAGGAAAATCCAGTGGTTACCAGTGATGAGAAATTCGGTTCACAGAAGCTCGTCTGGCCTACTTTCTCGAAATGTACTGCTAACTCTACGGCATATGGTAACACACAGTCGACACTTACTTCTATACCACAATCTTTTAATTCGTCAGCTTTAAGAACACTAGATCAACCAAATCTCCAAAATGCACGGTCGCTGGCGGCAAACAAATGCCATCAAAGAATCGAACAGGTTCGACCATCCAGTACGAACTGTTCTTCTCCGCCACTGAATCATGTGGCTGAAAATCACTTAACACCTCCACACGCTCCTGATGATAAAAAAATTGCCGCAAAATTAGTAAGTGTTAATTAACAAATAGGTGTGTCTGTTTGAGTGTTATAAATTCAGGATATGTCTGTAAACTAGTTTTATTTGTATTTATTTCGTAAGGAACGTAAATGACAGTGCTGTCAAAAAGTCTTTCGCTGTAGTCAATTAGTAGACTTTTGCAATGGCAGGTGACTACAAATAAGTATGCTTTATTGCTTTTTTAATTCCAGTTAACTGGGTTAGTTGTTTAAATCACCTTTCGAACTGATTAGCTGTTGAACTTTATCGTAAAATTGTCAAGTACTGGGTTTTTTGTAGGTATTTTTCTAGTTTGATTGGTTGGAGGATTTCATCATGAGCTGACATCAGTTGGACAGCCATTAGGAAACTTGGAAGTACTGGACATCTGTTTTGTCTAGCAGTACGCACTCACCGCTGAAGAGTTCCAAACTAGGATGAAACAGCTGTCCAGTACTCCCAGGGTTTCCAATGACTGTCTAACTTATTTCAGCCCATGATAAAATCCTCCAACCAACTTATTGTACAGTCTTGATTGAATTTATTGTGATAAGATATAAACATGTTTTAATCAGCATAAATTCTGTTCCTCACGGGAATTAAGTCAATAGACACTGGAGTCAGATACTAAAGATAGACGTTGTGATGTATAGGATGCAATCATGAATTATTTGTATTTTGATTTCCATACTTTATAGCTCGAATTGTTGGTTGAATTAAAGGATCCTGTATCCATTAAAAATCACTTGAATTTATCAAATGTTGGCCGAATAACAATTGAAGTACTGGCTATTGTTGTTTTACATTTGTGTGAAGAAGGTGAGATTTTGCGTTTCAGTATTTTTTTTCCTGCACAATACTTTAATCCGTTAGTCACACCCTTGATAGTTACACTATAGTCTGCTTATGGGATGGTCACAAAGTTTGTGTTTGTATCCATTCAATATAGTTTGTGACTGTGGATCTATTTACGAATCACTTGAAAACTGTGTCAGTCTGTAAATAACCCTTGATAATTGTATGCAACTCGTTAGTTTTTTAATTAATTAATTCTAGGTCTTATCATTCTGTTGTTCATCCGAACTCGGTTATGCGTTCAGATGTATTATGTACGTAGATATGAGCCGCATAGTTAACGCTAGTTTGGATAAGACCACCCAATTTTCCATATTGAAGTATTTGGAGAGGTATTCGATCCTGCGGCCTACCGACTGAAAATTGATTGTCTGTCTGTCTGGATTCAACATAGAACTTGGCACCGAAGTGCAGCAGTTCGAGTTGCCACCTTCCAAATAGCACACAGAGGTAGACAAGAAGATGAGTGAAGAGAATTAATAGAGTTTGACAAATATAAGAGTGAGACAGAATGGGTAATGGTAGAAAGGAATATGAAAGATCACAGAGATTGAATACATCTGCGCCATTGACAACGATTTTGAGCCATGTCACCTATTGTCTCCAGCCATTGATTCCTAGAGTCCCGAGGGCCCCAACCCGGGAGTCTGCATCTCCCTACCTGACTCAGTTTAATTGTCAAGGATTTCATGGATTGATGCCATGTTTTTGTTTGGCCACCACTGGCTCTTTTCCAACCTGAACCTATATCAGCTAACAATGCCCGTCGGGGGAGGCGGTGGTTAGGCATGCGCACCATGTGACCTAGCCATCTTAGTCTATGTAACTTTATAACCTCGTCGATTGATTTTCCCTCTTTGCCCAACACTCTACGCCTAACGTCAACATTACTTATCTTGTGAAACCACCTAACGTGAGACCGAGATCGCAGACATCTATGATCGAAAGCAGTCAACCTTTTCATGTCTTCAACGCGTATTGGCCATGTTTCAGAACCATAGAGAAGGATGGAGCGAACTGATGAGCAGTACACACGTCCCTTGGTTGATAACCGGATGTCACGCCTACGCCAGAGATGGTGTAAGTCAGCGAAAGCAGCTCGAGCTTTTCGGATCCGCGCTGAGATTTCATCGCCAATCAGTCCGTTGGTGGTAATACAACTTCCCAAGTAGGTGAAGTGGTCAACATGTTCTATCACTTCACTCCCTATCACTAAGTTAGGGGTTGACGTGGTCCAGTCCTGTAGCAGCATCTTACATTGATTGCCTTAACCAATAGGCCACATCACCATTGTAGGACAGGATTGTACGATTTCGTGAGATGGAGAAGATTTATATCACGGGTGAATATTTTTTGGTGTTGTTTTTCCTCCAGCGACAGCCGGTCACAAATGAGGTTACCAGGAAAAAACCATATTTCACCCACGATGGACTTTTTAAGCTCACTGCACAATCAAGTTTGTGCTGCAGATGACGTCTAGAAAGAGAATCAAAGCTTCGCAATTCACTCACCTAGCTCAGTGTATTATTATGTATTACTCAATACTTTGTAAATGTTTGTAGACTCCACTAAAATTTAGGTGATATTTAGCACCTTATCAGTCATTTTGGAGTTTTTAGTGCATTGTCACAACATACATTTTATCCTCAATTGAAGGCTGCACAAATCTTGCGTGCTGTTAGATTGTACTATCATTTTTACTAATGTAACACATGAGGTAGCAGTAATTGAATTTTACTGGTTACCTTTCGTGTTTTTGTGGTAATTGTGTTTGTAATTAGAAGTATTCTCTTTATTTATGTGCGTAGGTACTAATCTCAAATTGGCAAAAGCCGAACCGTTCGAATTAGCAGAATTACTTGTCGCATGTGCAGAAAACCTGTTGTGTCGTGATGCATCTGTATGCAATTCTAAAGATAGTCGCAAACCCAAATCAGTGAAGTCACTGGGTGGTAGTGGTCACCCTCTGGCTCTTGTATGGTCGCACCTTCTAAATAAACTGTTATGTGTTACGCAGTTAATCTATTCAAAGTCTAAAATCGCTTCAATATCGGCCGCTTTAATATGGAATCGCCATATGGATCTTTCTGAATTCGCAGAACCTTTGCGTGGTGGGAAACACCATCCTTTATTCTTACTTGTTCTTCAGAAATTGTCTCAAATGGTTGATAATGACTGTAATTCGAATAAAAAGGAATCAGTTTGCATAGATGGTGCTACTGTGGATGAAAGGCGCTGTTCACTTATTCAATTATTCCAAGATACTGGGTTACAAATAAACCAAATGGTCCCAGGTTAGTTAAACTTTTGTAACTGGGAATTTTCTGATTCTTTGCACTATTCTCACGGAACTAATTAATCCTTCCGTATGTCTATATGAATTAAAAGTGTCTGTCTACCATTTCGTCAAAATGTACGTGTTTCATGGTAGTTCGTTATTTATTTAAGAGTTTCATTCTCATTGAATGAATTGCTAGTCTGACGCTTTACGTCACTATTGCTGTTTGGTTATAAAGAAAACATCGGTCGTGTACTCAGCTATGAGCCACTCCTATTGTGTGCCTAGATTGTAGTAGGCAGTGAGGAATTTGAGTCGAAAAACCACTGGCTAAAAGTCGAGGGCTTAAGCCAATGCGCTACGTCTGGATTGTGTTGTTTGTTGACTCCGATGATAATTTATTGCTCACTATTCTGTATATATAGTTTGGGATAGTTACATGAATTGTCTGATATCCAATGAACAAAACTGACCTGCAAATGGATTGTGCTTTAATTCCATTGTGGATAAAATTTATATTCATGAAGTATCAGTGCTATCCAGTAATAGTTATTGATGACGTTTCGAGAATAATTTATTGCACATAATCATATCGAGTTACTCGAAACGTCATCAGTAAATGTTTCTGTATAACACTGTGAGACTTAATCAAAATAAAATTTATCCACAGTGGAATTATACTCTACTACAGTGCCCAAGTTCTGTTTTTATATCAAGGATTGTGCTTTAGCCTCATATTACTACGCAATTCTGTGTGGATGAGTAAAACTACTTCTGAATAACTTTTCAGCGTCTCATACTATTATTCTAGACAATGTTGTCTCATATTGTGCTTAACCTACAAAACTTCCTATTATTTCCACTTAAAGATTTATTTCATGCTTCATGTATGCATTTCTATTAACAGAAGGTAGTCGTACAAATGAAGCCCTTCTGGCACTACTTGAAGAACGCGATTTGGATTTTCTTGTCCCAAGTCTGCGTCTTTCCATTGAACTCTCAAATCTTACTAGGAACATTTCGGATATGGAGGGAAAAAATCCTCAAGAGTCGGATAAACACTTTGCATCCAGATTAGATGAATATTTGTCAAAGCAACCAGCAACTAGCGTCGGGATTCGAAACTCGGATTATGCTCACGCTTGTTTACCAGTTGTATACGAATATATTTACAAGGTTGGGGTTGTTGAACTTGGCAGTTCATCTTCACCCTCAACTTTAATGACAAGAGAAAGAGCTGCATGGAAATGCATTGTACCGAAAGGACTTGCTGATATCTTACGAAACTCTGTGGAGCGGCAGATGGATGCTTTGCATGCTCTTCAACTTTTTTGGGTTGACAAAAGCATGCCAAAAGGTTAGTATTCCTATATCAGGCTTTAATATATTTCCTTGTTTACATCCAATATATAGTACATATAGATTTGCATATCGTGGACTTGTCTGCCTTTTGTTTTGATGTTATTTTCGTTAGTCATTAAAGTCACATGATTTCTGTCACACCAGTAATTAATCGTATTCATTGTTTTATTACAGGTTTCTTGTTTCGGTGTTTTATGAATCTATACGATTGCGAACTTGTGTGCGAAAACGCTTTTCTGTCTTGGAAAGAGGAAGTGAATCCCAGTTATCCTGAAAAGGGGCAAGCATTATTCGAGGTAATTCAGTCATATTTTTGTGTTTTAATAATATTTAAAAAAAAATTAATTTTTCTTCATGTTGTAGAATATAAGTGTCAAAATTTTCCCTATTTGTGCTTGGTCATCACTGCAATTCAGTGAGCCAGTGACTGGTTGACTAACTGACTATTTGCGTTACCACGCGTGGTATCAGTCCACAAAAATAAATTCAATTAATCCTGAAATAACAGGATGTTTCCTCTAAACTGGCTGATTTAGCTGTGAAGCCTCTGTTATCCTTCTAGACACAATATTTCCATCCTTTCAGTGTGAAGCAAGTTTTCTTGGAATTGTACAGAAAAAGAACCTCATCAGGAGATCCGGTCACATCATTCCTGGGAAACTAAAAAGACTTATTTCATGTTCCAGTAAGCGCTGAAAGTTTCTAGGATGATGACACTGAAAGCGTCAAAATTAAATTACACATAACTTAGGAAGTGTCACCACATAAGGAAAATTACTCACTCTCTTTATACTGTAGGTGAGTTAAATGTGCCCATCTGCCGTTTTGGTCTTTCATTACGCATGATGCGAAATTTGTTTTAAAAACATTCCGCATAATTGTACGAAATCTTTATGTCAGTATTGTCCTGAATTCATAATACTTCGGAGAAATCAGGTCTTATTTTCAACAACATATAAGATGAAGCCAATCCTGATTCTTTTTCTTCTTATTTTTTCCTTTAATTCCCAGAGGAACATAGGGCTTCAGCCGCGCGTCTCCATTGCGTTCGGTTCTCTGCTGGAGTTTTCATCTGGCTCCAAGTCTGATCACATGTTTTCATCTCCTCCCCACACGATGTCCTCCTAGTTGCCCTTGGACGACCAACTCGCTGCTTCCCTTTCGGGTTCCACTGGAGGGCTTGTATAGTGATGTCACTTGATGGTTTCCTCAGAGTATGGCCAATCTATCTCCATTTCTTCCTGCCTATTTGTTTCACAATCGCTTCCTGCTGGGTTGGTTGGCTCATTGCCAGAAATCCCTGTTGCTGGTCTTTTCTGGCCAGCCATCTGATCTTGAGTATTGAACGAAGACAGCTGTTGATGAAGGTCTGTAGTTTGTTGGAGCTGCTCTTTATGATGCGCTGAGTCTCTTATCCATCCGTATAGTAGCACTGACTGACTTCATATTGGAGTTGAAAATCCGGATCTCATTATTCATGCTGAGTGCTGTTGAACTCCACGCAGACTTGAGAGTAATGAAAGCTTGTCTTGCTTTCCCGATGATCATTGCTTTGATATCCTCGTCAGTTCCGCCTGTATCTTAGGCGGTAGGTAAGGGAGGTTGTTTCTTTCAGGTTCCTCCCACTTATGATTCTCAGAAGTTTTGATTTCACAAACAAATGGTGATGTGTATATGTACAAAGCGTATCAGGTTATTTATTTATGTATTATCATTATTATTATGCGACAATTAGTATTCAGCATCACTTTGTCATTTTATTTCCTAGGTGAATCGTTGGTTGACGTGGTTGGAAACAGCCGAAGAAGAAGACGATGAAGGTCAAAGTATATCAGATTCAAATGAAGAACATACAAAGTCGGTTGAAGAAGTTGCAATGCATTTGGAAAATTTATCAACTGCCTGTAGTCAGGAAACTAAGTCAATGGATCATATATCTGAAATGGTGTCTGATATCATACCTCCTGTTCTGCATTCCAGTTCAGCAGCCCTTGGTTCCTCCTAATGTGCGCGCTTGTATTTGGTTCTCTCTAATTTCAAGATAGTGATTAAGATTGTAACTCGCCTATGGAAGTCGATCTATAAATTTCAAATTCTTCTGTAATTTTACTGATATAAACACTGTCACATTGGGCCCTAATTTTCCGTAATATACTGTTTCCATGAGAAAAACCTTATTTTGTCTTCTTCATTTTGACGTGGACATTAATTAGCATCGCACGCACTGAAAGGGGTTGTTAGGACCTAGGTGAATTTTGATATCCTTTAACTAAAAGATCTCTTTTAAGTACATCTTAAGAATAAATTCGTGTATTTATCAATTTGCGTTTTTCATATACTGACACATCTGATCTCCGCTTCCAAAGAATCTAGTTCATAATGTCACCAATTTCCACAAGACTAGCAATTCGGAAGTGAATTTATTGGACATGACCATACATGCATGTGCTGGCGTACTTATTATCGGTGTGTGACTGTACAAAGAATGCCATCCATGTGCTGATATCTTAACTCAGACTAGATTATTTTTAGCCTGACCCTATGTCGGCTAACATTGGCGGTCGAGGAAAGCAATGACTAGGCATACGTAACACATGTCCTATCCATCTCAGTCGACGTAATTTCACAGCCTCGTCGATTGATTTCCGCTGTTTACCTAACACTCGATGCCTAACCTCAATATTGTTCACCTTATTATGCCACTTCACACGGGAGGGAGATAGAACACAGGCACCTATGATCAAAGAAAGCTAATCTTTTCATGTCTTCCACTCTCAATGGCCAGGTCTCATAGCTGGCCATAAAGGAGGACGGCGCGGACTGCTGAGCAGTAAACCCGCCCTTTGGTCGACAACAAGCTGGATATCCCCTCTATACCAGAGACGGCGTAAACTGTCATATGCGAAACTAGCCCTCTGTATCCGTACTGAGATTTCGTCCGAGATCAGCCCGTTTTGACTGATGGTACTTCCCAAATCAGTGAAATGGTCAGCACGCTCTACCTTCTCACCCCCTATTTCTACGCAAGGACTCAACGTAATCCAGTCCTGTAACATCTTATATTTGGTGGGAGCGAATCGCATACCAAACATTCGTAGATAGAGGCTCAAGGTGTTCAGAAGACTCTGCATTTTCCTAGTGTCTTCACCTAGAAGGACGATATCATATGTATGTTCTAAGTCAACAAGATTACTCCCTGATAGCAAGTCAATCCCTGAGTCTCTGAAGTGAGTTAGGGTTAAGTCCATTAGTACATCTATGATGAAATTGAGTAGAAATGGGGATAATGGGCATCCCTGACGGACACCACCAGTTCAGATGACAACTCGCCGTAAGCCCTCACCTGACTGCATGAGTTCAAGTAGAGTGAGTGGCTTGATCAGTGCAATGTATTTTCCTGGCATTCGCTTTACAGCCAGGCCAAGTATCCAAGTATACTATCTCGTATGCTTGCAGTCAGGCAGTAGTAGCTCTATAAGGAGTGAGATAATCGAACACCTTATCAATTCCAGCTATTCCATCTTGACAAACGCCTCGTTCAAAGTAATCTCCAAAGAGGTGAGCAACCAGTCAAAGACAATACGCCTTCATCTGCTTTGCATCGCTGAAGTTCTAGCCATTCAGAAAGAGAAACCGGAGCTAAACATGCAAAAGGAAATTAAGCAATCACTTCTATTATCATGGAAACAACCTTTTCGATTTCTCCACACCTGATGTTTACTCCTTAGAACTTTTAATTCAATTTTAGATTTTCCGGTCGACTGATTGGATAGAAGTTCTCAGTCCCAAGTCGACTTGTCGGCTTCTTGTACTATATGCTTCGACGACGTCTGGACGAGTCCCATATAGGACGAAATGCACATCCTGAATTCCACTGCTAGTCAACATCCACCAATCGACTTCAAGATACATTGTGGTGGTGTGATACTGACGACGGGTTACAACGGAAAATTATTCTCACAGGAAGAATCATTGTATTTGTTGGTGTTAACGTCCGAAGACTATTCCAAGTATTGGTTATGCAGGGATTTTGTTTGGTTGCATGGGAGATTTCATCATGAGTTGACATCAGTTAGAGAACCACTAGAAAACCTGGGAGGACTGGACAGCTGTTTCGTCCTAGTTTGGGACTCTTCAGTAGTACGCCACACCTTCCGACAGGGGTGGAACCCAGGACCTACTGGTTACAAGGCGAGCTCGTGGACCATTGAGCCACTGGGACCGGTTCCAACGGTCATTGAATTCTAACTTCTGCAAATTCACGACATAGCGCGACCGTTTTACAATGTCTTCTTCGATGAGTTACTGCCACATCTTCAACCTTCTGTGGTCACGGCTTACCACTAGAACCCCAGGTTAACTGCCTGAGTACTATTCCCACAGTTCAATACTGCACTAGCGACAGAATACTATCTATATATTTGAACATTATATTTCATGTCATTTCATGTAAACCAAAAATCACACGCTCAGTGATTGGTTAACGAATATAAGCTGTGGATATATAAACAGAGGTTTGATTAATGAAAATATACCTTGACTTCCGTGTCTTGCCTTCTGGAGTTGAAACATGACCAGACGTCGTCGAGGCATCTACACAAGCAGTTGACTTGTCAACCAGAGACCCAGGACTTCGGTCAAGTCAGTCGACTCCAGTTTTAACATTGTCATCCGTTCTGTGGCCTCTAGTTGAAACGATGCTGTCTAGATAAGTGAAGGAAGTAACATCTTTCAAATTTATTTTGTTTTGATTGGTTGGCGGAGTATTTTCATCAACTCTATCTTCTCTACGTTCACTTAAATTCCTTTCTTCACTTCCTGTCTCTTCATCCAACTTGTTGGTTTTCGTCTGTAAGTCTTCTAGTTCATGTGACATCAGATTTTACTGTGGACACTGTTCAATTCAGTGTAATCTACAAATGTGATTACATTGAATAAAACATTATCAACTAATCATAAGACATGTTTAATTTGTACTCATGATTAAGTCACCTGATTTATAACAAAACGAATAGATGCGTCACGAGATTTCCACTTATGTTGTGAACTTAAAGAACAAGCCATTGCTAAAGGGGACTTTCATTCTCTATCTGTTAAAGAGAAATAATGGCTGACTCTTTCACTATTTATGATTTTTTTAAAACTGTTCGTTTTGTTATTAAGAATCCTACGTAGGGTCTCAGATGTCCCCTCCTTATATGGTATAACAGTAGATGAATTATATTCACTTTTATTTATGTTATCATTACTAGTTTCACAATTATTTTTATTTTGTTTTGGCCTTTACTGATCTTCCTAATGAATTTTAAAGGATAGTTATTTAACACCAACGTTTCTTCTATCTGTTTTATTTCGTCATTTAGGTCTTTTTTGTGCTACTTAGTGCTACCACTCGGTTTGTTAAACACTTAACTAAGCCTGCCTTCACAGACAGTTAACGGATGAGATGAATTAAAGTCTAAATATCTACTAGAATGCGTTGGTTTTCTATAAACACTAGTGTGTAGTTTGCCTTCTTCTATTCGTTTTATCTTACAATCTAACATAAGTAATTGTTGTTGTTCAATTTCCGCTTCAAATGTGAATTTTAATCCCTGTACTAGTCAGTTTATATGTGCCAAGAAGCTAGAGATATGTTCTGTTTTTAACACTGTGTGAAAGTGTCATCCACATATCTCCACAACATTTTTGGATTACGATTAAATGTATTAAGAGAGAGGTTCCTGTTCATCGAGTCTACACCCAACACATGCAATAGGAATGATTCATCACTCATACCCGAAATATGGAAAATACTACTACCAATCAAATCAAGTGAAAAACAATGGAACTATATAAATGAAATTAGGAAGTCGTGTGATTACCTTGATATGATTATGAGCAGTAATAAATTGTGCTCGATACGTGGTCATCAGTAAACATTTTAGTGAGTTCTCTTCCATATGACGCAGAAATGTGATATGCGCATCATGAAAAGCAATTCCAACAGTCTGTCAGCTGCAGACTTTTATCAACAGCTGCCGCCTTAACTGACTGCATACTGAAAGTCAGATGGCCAAGGAGAAAGAATCAGCAACACACCAGTCAAGAACCTATTGCTCAACAAGTATGTAAAAGGAAATTGAGATAGGCTGGGTAAACTCTGAGGAGATCGTCGGATGACACCGTGCACCAAACAATCAGTCGAGTGGAAGGTGAATGGGAAACGACGAGTCGGCGTTTGTACGAGGGTAACAAGGCGGAGATCACTTGCGGAAGAGATGAAGGACTATGGACAATCATGGAGTCAGATAAAGAGGATTGCATGGAAAGGACAGAAAATAAACATGTGTTGCTGAAGCTCGATGTTCCACTTGGGGTACAATGGAATAATAATTATTATTGATCAAGATAGAAGAAATATAGAAGGTAGGGAACTGTTAAAACACACACGGTGCGCAAAGTTTTGACAAGATTTTTGATTAGGTTTCAAGTTTATAATAAATCTGCAAAATGAAATTTCATTGAAATCACACTCAAAAATATATTATGAACTCATGAATTTACTGTTAGGTCATGATAACCTAAGTGATGGAAACATTATTGGATTCGGAGATAAGTGGGTGAATTGGTTACATTTTTATTCTTATTTTTTGATTACAGCTTGATTCCACACCGTATTTTTGGTACAAGTGTGGAATTTTCAGCGTGGATATCGGTAGCCCAAAATTCGCAGGCCGACCATAAATATCAAGTGTGCGTCGGCGTGGGCTCGAACCCCGGACCATGTGCATGGTTGGCGAGAGTCCTAACCACTGTGCCGCCGACGCACACTGCCACATGGCTTTAAAAAGTGGTATTTACATGGATATTAGTTGACTGTTCTACGACATGAAATAGTAGATCCTTAAATAATGGTCGAAATCTTCACGAAGCAGATTCATTTCTCCTGATTCTGTATGATATCTGTTAAATCTGAACAACATTAAGTAATTGCTTCTGCAGTGAATATGAAAGAATTAACTCCGTTACTTTTTTTGATTGCACACTAGTCAGTAACTAGTGTATTGTGTCTAAACCTATCTTCGCTGCATACTGAATTCTATCCGTCAAACTTGCAATGTGGCCACCATGCTGGGTGGCTCACCATTACGGTGCACTGTGAATTCTTGGTATTGGGTAGTTGGAGGCGATCTA